GCACACTGGCCCTTGCCGGTGGGGGAAGCTTTCTTGGATGACTTTTCCTGAGTTGCCTTCTTACTAGGTTGGGATTTAACTCTTTCAGTTGGACCCCTATCTTGAAACACCTTCCAGGCAACCTCTAGCAGTTTATCTGTATCTCAAACTCCCTCTACAGCTTTCTTCTTATGTCATTTGAAGCTTGAGCCATAAACAACAAAACCAGATGTGCTTTACCATCAGCTGAATCAGGATCTAGATCGGTATATTTGATGGCAGCTTTTCATAACCTGTTTAAAAAATCAGTGGGTGATTTATCATAATTTTACCTCACTTCATAAAACTTTGACAAATTTATAGTTTTAGGGACACCATGTTTCAACCCATGTACCACGAGGCTTTGGTATTGTTTTAACCTTGCCATATGTTCTGGTATATTTGGATCCCACCCAGGATTCTCAAGGGGGAATAGCTGAGTGACAGTGCTTTGAAGCAGTCCACTGGCTATGCTTCCCTCCACAGATGTTGTGACGGCTTTATTGACCATTTGTCCCTCAGTGGGATCAAGTCGTGTCTGTCTCAGGTTGGAAAGACAGGTGTGTGCTAAGGAAGGCAGGAGCCTCCCCTGAAATGGAAAATGTAAACCCCCTCCCCCAAATTGTTATAAATTTGAAATTAAGGGGCTCTCAGGCAAAAATATGGGAGCAGGAATAACAGTTCTTTATTAGAGAAGAAAAATTTAAAAAATGAAATGAACAATGTAGTAACATAAAACAACACTGACAGAGTCAGAATATGACCTGACACCCTGTTGGTCAGGGTGTTGGAATGGTGGCTGCAGTCTTCCTGGAGTGTCAGGTGTGGTTCTGTTGGAGCAGTGATCCTGTAGAAGGGTGGAATCTTCCTCTGAAGATCCAGTGGAAGAGGCAGCTGTTGCTCTGGGAATCCAGTGGAGAAGCTGTCTTGCTGTTCTAGGATCTCAGATTATATCCAGTTAGGAATGCTTGGCTCCTCCCTCTGGGCAGAGCATCTCACAATGGGATGATGTAATTTTATCAGTCATGCAGTGACAGTCAATGGCAAATTAACAGAAGATAACTCCCTGGAGGGAGGATTGGTTCATGGAAGAGATAAGGAAAACTGCCCAATTAACAGAGGATAACTGCCACACTTCTAACAGATGGCAAATAGAATACATCTTGCCTTGCAATCTGGGACATTATCCACCTCTTATTCTATTTCCATCTGCACCACAATGAAATCTTACACACAGTTCTCACTTAGGACTAGGTTTCCCTGTGGTACACAACAGGCTGCTCCACCTTTTGCCATTACCCACCAAGTGCAACCAGGTTCTTGAACAAAAACTATCCCATGGATGGGTTTGTCTTTGCCTGAGGTGGGACTAATTCAGTCTGTTAGGAATGTAGTTAGTAATTCGTGGAAATAAATGCTGTATAAAATATAAGTGTATAAAATAAACTGCGGAAGGGGGGGAAGAATCCCTTTTTCTTTCAGGTTGGGAATTCTTGGCCAGATGACCCGCGGCAGATGGACATCACGGCATTTGCACCCAAAGAGGACTCCAGCTGCACCAAGGACGAACGTTCAACAGCACCTACGCCCAAAGATGCCAGGTGCTGATGGCCCAGACACGGAACTGTATTATGGTCCGGCAATAAATTTTATTTTTCATATTTTTATTAAAATTGGCTATTTTTCATTTTTCATTTATAACACAGTCTTTCCTAAAATACCTTTCCATTGGTATTACCAGTATTGTGAACAGGATGTGCCTTGGCTTGTCTGGCCCTGCTGCTGAACCAAATAGCAGCAACTGTGGTGTTTCACCCCAGAGACACCTTTGGCTACCTGGAAGTTGTTATGAATAAAAAGTTATCTATTTTTGTTTAAGGTTACAGAGCTAAAACCGGTTGGACCAGTTGCTGTTAAATTAGCTTAATTGTTAAGAGTTCTTCTTTAATTGCCTGTCAATGGTTGGTGATTTAGCCATTGTCCTGCCGATGCTTGCCCCGGAGCTACACCTGGACACCCAGCCCAGGAGAATAGGAGTGGCCTGAGACCACGTATGCAGATGAGGAATGCACTGCTCCAAAATTTTCCCGTTTTCTAGGAAAACCCCTAAAAACAACGAACCAATATAGAATTAGGGGACTTTACATTGTGTCTAAGGATGGGCGCGAAGTCCAGTACCTGCTTGGATCCTTTTTGCTTCTCACCCTGACCTCAAAGGATGTTCACTGGGGAGGAGACCCGAAGTGTTGGACCAAAAAGTAGGAATCTGCTAATCTCTCATGAGGACGCAGTCCCCAGCTCTGCCTGCAGACCAGCGGACAGAGCTGCATCACCCTCCTCCTCCGTGCCACTCTTGGGGACAGCGGCGGCGTGGGCGCGACCCGTCGATTTCTCCCCACCTGAGCTGAATCTCTTTAATAAAGGCATTAAAAAGGAGAAAGATCTCCTGCCCTATTTATTTCAGAAGTTGCAGCTGGGCTCATGGAGACAAGTCCAGACATGCCGGGGCTCCAGTGGCAGTGGGATGGAGCTTCCTGTCGTAGAGGGTCACTCCTCAGGTCTTCCTCTGCCAGAGAAGCTTTAAGGTGGTAGTGAAAGAAGGAGTCAGTTCTGATGGAGGGTTTCAATCCAGAGCTTTTATTCTGGCCCACAGGCCTCTGAATCCAGCAACAGCTCCAACAGAACTCCCTAGTGTGGTCTGCCAGCCCTTTTAACCTGGGGAAGAGGAGGAGGGAAGGGATAGGGGGACCACCAACCAGCTACGGGAGAGGAGGTCTTAAGGGGCAAAGGACACCTGGATGGCCCAATGCCCCCCGGGGTGGAAGGCATCTTTTGAATTTGCCCAATCACTCAATGCCCTTCTGGAATTCCAGGATTGACAGACAGTGCTCGGCAGGCTCTGGGTGGAGGGAAGGAGAGGTGATTGACACACCTGGGAGGGAATCTTCTGGAGAGGGACCGGGGTCTGGGATAAACCATGAAATCACACTGCAACACTTGGTTACGTGAAGCCCTGCAGTGTCACAATGGAAATTTGCATGGTTGGAACACCTCTGCTCTGGAGCCAGGCTGAGAGAGCTGGAGCTGTTCAGCCTGGGCACGAGAAAGCTCCAGGGAGATATTAGAGCCCATTCCAGCACCTAAAGGGACGTTGAGAGAGATGGAGAGGGACTTTGGACAAAGGCCTGGAGAGACAGGACATGGGGGAATAGCCATGAGGGGAAGGAGGGCATGTTTAGGTGGGATATAGGGAAGAAATTCTTCCCAGTGAGGGTGATGAGGCCCTGGCACAGGTTACCCAGAGAGGCTACAGACTCCCCACCTCTGGAGGTGTTCAAGGCCAGGTTGGATGGAGCAATCTGGTCCAGTGGAAGGTGGCCCTGTCCATGGCAGCAGACTGGAACTTTAGGATTCCAACCCAAGCCATTCTATGATCCTGGATTTGCCCCTCCTTGCCCTCATTCAGCAGCAGCAGGTTGACATGTTCCTTTTGCAGCCATTTACTGCAAACATAGCGACTGAATTAACTTTGCTCTGGATGTTGCCTGCAGCCTCCACCAGCTCCAGCTGGGCTTTGGCTTTCCTAAACACGTGAACACACACTCGGGTCAGATTCCTGAATTCCTCCTCCTTAGCTTGTCCTCGCTTCCACCTCCTGGTCGTTGTGTTGTGGCCCACCCCTGTCACTTGTCCCTGAGGCAGCCCCGCTGCCAGCGCAGGCCCCACATCCCTCTCATCAGACATGGCACAGCACAGGGTGAGTTTTGGGTGGGAAAATGCTCCCCACCAAAGTGTCCATTCCAGACCTCAGTGTCCAGTCTCTCCAGCCACGTCCAGTGCCTGGGTTCATGGAGTGCCCTGCTCTGGGGTCTGCCAAGGGCTGGGTGAGGAGGGAGCTGGGGCAGGGCTGATGCTGCTGCTACACCGGTGCTGAAATCGGCAGGAGGAAGGAGAAAACCACAGAACAAACAGACCAATAAACTGCAGTGAGTGCCCTCAGTGAGGTCTGAAAGTGGCTGACAGAAGAGGCTGGAGGGACGGTCAAAGCCCTGGGGCACCTTCTCAGACTGGCCATACCACCAAGGCCACAGACCACCCTCCTCAAGGCTGCACCTGCCTGTCTGAGATCCCTGCCAGGGGACTGGCACAGCAGCACACACCTGCAGGAACGTGTCCTGGCCCTGCAGAGCCACACAGCTCAGCTGGCATGGGTGGGTTTTATCTCCTGGGAACTTCCCAGCCCAGCACAGCTTCTGCCCAGATCTGCCCACCTCCCCTGCCCTCAGCCCGGCCCAGCCCATTCTGGGTGAGCCCCATGGCAGTGCCTGCTCTGGGGTTCTCCAGTGTCACCATTGAGCAAGAAATGACAAATCCACCAGCAGGCTGGTTTGCACAACAGCAGCAGCTTTTAATATGCAAGTTCTTTTATAACTAGGTTCAATACATTCTACTCGATTGGTTAATTAACAAAACATTTTTCTCACAAACAGAGAAGAACAGAAAAAGAGAGTAGGAAAACACCACCTGAAGGTTGTTTATACTAACAAGTTATCATTGTTTCTCTACAACTCCCTGAAATCTCACAAGTCCATTGTGAGAAAACAAATCCCATTTTTTTGCTCTTTGACCAGGCTGTCACAGCCACACTCCAGCCCTGGGGGCACTCACCCCACAGCCCCGGGGGCACTCACTCACCCCACAGCCCCGGCCCCTGCCTGTCTGAGATCCCTGCCAGGGGACTGGCACAGCAGCACACACCTGCAGGAACGTGTCCTGGCCCTGCAGAGCCACACAGCTCAGCTGGCATGGGTGGGTTTTATCTCCTGGGAACTTCCCAGCCCAGCACAGCTTCTGCCCAGATCTGCCCACCTCCCCTGCCCTCAGCCCGGCCCAGCCCATTCTGGGTGAGCCCCATGGCAGTGCCTGCTCTGGGGTTCTCCAGTGTCACCATTGAGCAAGAAATGACAAATCCACCAGCAGGCTGGTTTGCACAACAGCAGCAGCTTTTAATATGCAAGTTCTTTTATAACTAGGTTCAATACATTCTACTCGATTGGTTAATTAACAAAACATTTTTCTCACAAACAGAGAAGAACAGAAAAAGAGAGTAGGAAAACACCACCTGAAGGTTGTTTATACTAACAAGTTATCATTGTTTCTCTACAACTCCCTGAAATCTCACAAGTCCATTGTGAGAAAACAAATCCCATTTTTTTGCTCTTTGACCAGGCTGTCACAGCCACACTCCAGCCCTGGGGGCACTCACCCCACAGCCCCGGCCGCCCTGAAGGGCTCAGCAGCTGCAGAGGGGCAGGGAGGGAGCTCAGCCTCCACATCAGCCCCAGGCTGCAGCTCCCATGGCAGGGCAGACGGAGCTCAGTGACAGTGCAGAACTCCTGCTCCTGGCTCCAGGAGGCTGCCCCTGCCCACCCAGTGCCAGCTACTCTGTCCAGGGCAGCACAGGGGACACAGGGGCCTGGACAGAGCTGGTTCCTGCAGGAGCAGCTTCCTCTGGATTCCACCTGCAGGCACAGAAACGCTCCCTTGCTCTCCTCCCTGGACATCCTTTCCCCAGCTGGGTGTCCTGGCTGGCTGGGCTGGCTTGTCCTGCTGCCCCAGCCCCTGCTGCCCAAGGGCCCTGAGCTGGCTCTGCTGCTCTGCACACACCAGTTCTGCTGCTGGCCACGGCCCGGGCTGCAGGGAAGCAGCAGCTCCAGGGGGAAGGTTCCAGAAAGGCTCTGGGCACTGAGGCTGACAGGAGCACCACAGGCTCTGCAAGTTCTCTGTGTGGGAGCTGAGCTTGTGACCCCCTGAGCCCTGCCAAGGGTGGGGCTGCACCTCCAGCTCCAGAGGAGATGTGACAAATAGGAGCAGAGACAATAATTCCTGCTGGGTTCTTTCTTGTGTTTGCTTATACAGGTGAGCTGGATCCATATGTAGAGGAGGTGTTTTGTGTTAGTAACACTGGCAGAGTGATAAGAATAATATTTTTAAGCTGAAAATAATATTTCATGCATAACACACAATGAGAAAAAAGAGACATATATGATCAGAAGAGCATCTGAGTTTTTCAGAGGATGAGAGACTCATTGATGTTCCACGTGTCCTGTTGAAATGCTTTCCTCAGGGCTTCCTTGAGATGAGAGATGACCACCTGTCCTGGTTTTGCATCAGGAAGTGATTCAAAGAGAAGCTGCTGGCAGTTTCCTCCGTGTCTGACAAAAAAAACAATCAGTAATTAACTCTGAGAATTGTCAATCTGTTAAACCACTGAGAAAGCTGATACGCCTCTGTGAACACCCATGTGAAAAAAGAAAAATCCTGGGAAATCCCTCTTTCTCTTCTGGTCCCAAAGCGGTGACAAGGCCCCCGTCCTGGCCTGGTTGGGCTGGGCCCAGTGGATGCAGGACAGAGAGAGGGGAGGCCATCAGCCGCTGAGCCCAAGCCTGGCTGCTGAGATCCTACCTGTGAAAAACACCAATCACTTGTTTTTAAAATTTTAAAAGTTTAATAGTAATAAAACAGTTACAAAAATAGCAATATAATTAGAGTAACAAAAATTTGAACAATTGAGATTAGGACAATATGGGACAAGAAGAACAAAGAGTTATGGACAGTCTGGGTACCTTTTCTGGGCAAAATAAGGCCGAAAAAGGACGCAGGTTAACAGAGGATTAACCCTTAAAAACCATAGCCTGTTGCATATTCATATACTTCATACATGATGTATAAATTCCATTCAAACAAAGGATTCTGTCTGGTCAGTGTCAACTTCTTCCTCTTAATCCTAACGGTGTCATTATGGCTGAGCAAAGCGGGAAGAAGTTCGCTTCTCCTGATAAAAGAGCAATAAATTCTCTTTCTCTGAAGGATTTAGGTGTCCTGTGGCTGCTCCATGGTGCGAGTACCTCATTCCTTCCTAAAAAACCCATTCCACATACATAGCTCCTATTTTAACTACAAAAGTTACCTTTTAACTATAAAACTACATTTACCACACTGTAAAAATGTTAATACAGCACTACAAATCAATACAACATAATACATATGCATAGAGCCATACAATATGCACTTTTCACACTAGCCATTCCCTCCCCGCCTTGCACGGCTGCCAAAAAAACCCTGAGGTGGCTCTGCAGCAGAAAAAAGCCCCGGGCCAGACCAGCTAGGCCAAGATTCCACCAGCGCTGAGATTCGCCCGCAGCTGCCGGGCAGGAGGAGGAGAAGGCATCAGCACCACGCCGGTGCTGGCTGCTGAGATCCTGGCCATCCCCAGCCCAGCCCAGCTCCACCAAAAACTTCTCTGCAGCCCTCAGGTGAGATATTAACCCTTTCACTGCATCAATCCCTCCCTGAGTGAGAGAGCAGGATGAAGTTCAGAGACGTAAAGAAACAACATGAAGATACTGAGGTCAGTGAAGAGGAAGTCAGACCCCAGATGGGAAGGATGAGGAGATGTCTTTGTCTTGGGGCTGAAATCTTCTTGTAAAGCTATACCAATCACTTGTTTTTAAAATTTTAAAAGTTTAATAGTAATAAAACAGTTACAAAAATAGCAATATAATTAGAGTAACAAAAATTTGAACAATTGAGATTAGGACAATATGGGACAAGAAGAACAAAGAGTTATGGACAGTCTGGGTACCTTTTCTGGGCAAAATAAGGCCGAAAAAGGACGCAGGTTAACAGAGGATTAACCCTTAAAAACCATAGCCTGTTGCATATTCATATACTTCATACATGATGTATAAATTCCATTCAAACAAAGGATTCTGTCTGGTCAGTGTCAACTTCTTCCTCTTAATCCTAACGGTGTCATTATGGCTGAGCAAAGCGGGAAGAAGTTCGCTTCTCCTGATAAAAGAGCAATAAATTCTCTTTCTCTGAAGGATTTAGGTGTCCTGTGGCTGCTCCATGGTGCGAGTACCTCATTCCTTCCTAAAAAACCCATTCCACATACATAGCTCCTATTTTAACTACAAAAGTTACCTTTTAACTATAAAACTACATTTACCACACTGTAAAAATGTTAATACAGCACTACAAATCAATACAACATAATACATATGCATAGAGCCATACAATATGCACTTTTCACACTAGCCATTCCCTCCCCGCCTTGCACGGCTGCCAAAAAAACCCTGAGGTGGCTCTGCAGCAGAAAAAAGCCCCGGGCCAGACCAGCTAGGCCAAGATTCCACCAGCGCTGAGATTCGCCCGCAGCTGCCGGGCAGGAGGAGGAGAAGGCATCAGCCCCACGCCGGTGCTGGCTGCTGAGTTCTGGTCTGGCTGCTGAGATCCTGGCCATCCCCAGCCCAGCCCAGCTCCACCAAAAACTTCTCTGCAGCCCCCAGGTGAGATATTAACCCTTTCACTGCATCAATCCCTCCCTGAGTGAGAGAGCAGGATGAAGTTCAGAGACGTAAAGAAACAACATGAAGATACTGAGGTCAGTGAAGAGGAAGTCAGACCCCAGATGGGAAGGATGAGGAGATGTCTTTGTCTTGGGGCTGAAATCTTCTTGTAAAGCTATGGAGAATATAATTGATCCATCAGACCTTTTTCCCTATAACGCATTGAAGAATTATTGCGGGGGGTGGGTTGTTCAAACCTGTGTTGAAGCAGGCAAATGCTGAAATAGCTGTGAATTTAAAAAGTTTGAACACACACAGAGAGAGAAGAGTCATGAGACCCTGTGCCCCCAGGGAGAGAAGAAGACCTCTGTTCCCAGAGATTATCTGAGATAAAGAGAACCTTTGCTCTTGAACAGCTCATCCTTAAAATAGTACCCCATAACTTGACATGGTCCATAAACCCAGCTGTGGAAAAGCTGTGGAAAAGATGGGAGGGACTCCATGATTGCTGATTTCCTGGGTGGCTGCTATTCCTGAAAATTAGAAGCCATGAGAGAACTTTTTTCTGGTGGAGCAGTTTCCGTATTTCCATAAACTCAACAAGAGGGACTTCTCTCCCTAAGTGAATTGTAGAAAGACTATTCTAGAAGTGCTAAACTGACTGAATTGTTTCTGTGCATTGGGAGTGGGAAAGAAAAGGTTGTGGGGGGAGGAGAAGTGTTCTAAAAGTTTTATTCTGATTCTCATTCCTCTTTCTTTTAGTTACTGTTAATAAAGGTTTCTTTACATCCTTTTCAAATTTTGAGCCTGCTTTGCCTTCCTGCCAGTCCTATCTCACAGCAGGAAATGAGTAAGGGTATTCTAGGGGTGCACGGCTGCTTGGCCAGCACTGAAATCCACCACGTTAATTGGTGAGCTGGCTGGGAAATCTCAAACTGGAAAACCAAACCCACTACAATGAACTACTGGTACGAAGCAAGAGAGGAGCTTGGATCCGCGGTTCTGTTTCTCAGGTGACCAGAACAGCTGGAGAAAAGCCAAGTGTTTGTCATTTTATAATAAAGATTTTGCGTTGTTTGTACGAGTGCAATTTTATGCTAGTTTTGGATCTGGGTGTGAACCTTGGGTTACGTGTGAGTGTAAAATGTGTCACAAGAGGTGGTATTGCACAGCCACTGGTGAGAGTGCCTGGTGCTGGGAGTGTAAAAGAGTGGAATTAAGGACCAGAAATCAGACCTTTAATTTCTTAATTTCTCTAGGACATGGGGAAATAGGCAGCCCAAGAAAAAGAAAAGCTTGGTGGGAGGCATTGATTGAATCACACCAGGCAGAAATAATTAAAATAGTGTGTGGGAGACAGTATTTGGTTCCTAGATTTGGATGTATCTGAGGAGGACTGGGACAAGACATGTGAGAAGTGTAAAGTTAAGATTTACATAGAAGCTAAGCAAGAAGAGAGACAAAAAGGGGTGTAAGGGACGTTTTGGGATAAACTAAAAAATGGGACACAAGGCAAGCAAGGAGAAAGTCCCCAGGAGAAAGGGAAGCAAGAAAGCATCAATAAAGATACCTTCCGATAGCCCCCTTGGGATAAAATTGGCACAGTGGGAACATAAACCTGACACCAAGAATAAAAATATAATGTATCATAAAAAAATGACACATTATTGTATGCTAGAATGGACTAAAGAGGAGATATACATGGAGCTTTACACATGGTTCCTTTGAGAGGGGGATGTGCCAAGCATTGAACATTTTTGTGAATGCTAAAGAAGCAATCACTCAGGAACAGAAGGATTCTGCCACTTGCTGGAGGGGAAGCCTCTCTGGGGGAAGAGAATACATTTAAATTAAAAGAAGCAAAAAACTGAGACCCCTTAGATTATCAATCTCCTCCATATCCACCAGCACCCAATGTACCCCCTCCACACTCTGATGGATCCAGCAAGAATACCAGGGGAAGAGCAGTCCAGTGAGAGGAATCAAAAAATTGGGAGACCAAAAAATTGAGAGGACCAAGAAGTATCACTACACCCCCTCCAGGAAGTACCCTTGGGAAGGGCACAAGGGGAATTGGGTTTGTAACTGCCCCACTTATCTCCTCTGAAGTGAGGGCCTTTGAAAAAGAATTAAAAGCTCTACTAGAAGATCCTATTGGATTAGCAGAACGAGTAGACCAATTTTTGGGACCCAATGTTTATACTTGGGACAAAATGCAATTTATAATAAACCTTTTGTTTACACACGAAGAAAGACAAATGATCCCAGCAGCAGGGATGCAGATATGGGGGAGGGAACATGCAAACAGACCCCCCGGGGAGGAGAAAATGCCATTACAGTGCCCGATTTGGGACCACAATAACCCCAGAGGAAGGCAAAACATGGCAGAGTATAAACATTAATTACCAGGGGAATTAGGGAGGCTGTTCCCCAAACTCAAAATGCCCATAAGGCATTTGCTGAACACCAAAAGAAGGAGGAGACTCCAGCTGAATGGCTGGAGACGTTAAAAAGAAATATGAGACCATACTCAGGAATGGACCCTGACAGAGAGGCTGGACAAGCTCTGCTAAAAGTGACCTTTGTCACTCATGCTTGGCCAGACAGAAGAAAAAATTTAGAAAGACTAGATGAGTGGCAAGACAAAGGACTAAATAACCTGTTAAAAGAAGCCCAGAAGGTATATGTACAGGGTGATGAAGAAAAAGCAAAGACAAAAGCTAAAATAATGGCGGCTGCTCCTGCTGAGGCAAACTTGCCGTTTGCCCAAGGAGCCATTCCCACAAGGAAATGAGGCCCGGGAGGACAAGGGGAACAGAGCTCCCTGGGAAAAAGGCCATAAAGAGGGGGAAAAGGGAATT